ACCTTGACAACTTTAAGACTTGTGGGCCAACTCCCAGAATTCCTCAGCCAGCCATGAATGATAGAGTTGGAAGAGACCTTCAGAAGGGTCATCTAAACCAGGGTCTCCAACCTAGGCAACTTTAAGACTTGTGGACTTTCAACTCCCAGAATTCCTCAGCTAGCAAGTTGAAGTCCACAAGTCTTTTTTTAAAGTTTTTATTTTTATATAAGAACAAAACAAAACCATCTTTCAGTTATACAGTCAGTGTGTCGACTGCGTACATAGATCTTGTGCACATATTAATATTTGTATACATTTCTTACTAAGTTTACATTCATATTACAGCCTATTCAGCCTTATATATCATTAGAACGATATCATTTAATTTCTCACTTTATTTTCCAACCATTTATAACATAAATCCCAAATCATATAATACTCCATTTCTTCTTCTTCTTCTCTGATTGCCAATGTTAAAGTCCACAAGCCTTAAAGTTGCCACGGTTGGAGACCCCTGGATTAGAAACCCCCAGTGTCTCTTCCAGCCCCATGGTTCTACGATAGGGGATTGGAGGCTAAAACATATAAAGACCGGTTGCTGGAACTGGGTATATGTCAGGTTTCCAAGTGATGAAGCCCATTCAAAGAGGAAGAAGCAAACTCCATCTTCTGTCGGAGTATATTCATGAGCTGGAACAGAGCTTAGTAACCAGGTCAGCCAATGAGAGCTAAATTTGGGGCTGAAACTTAACGAGAGAAACTGACTGGCTTGCTTGCTTGCTGAAATTGAGTTGAAACTGGAGCTGCATGTAACATGTTTGCTTGTTTAAAACCTTTCCACGTTGGAAGAAACTACTGGCATTGTAGATTTACTTATTTTACATAAAAGGAAGTTAATGAATCCTGCTGAGGTGTGTTTTCTGGACTTGAATTTATGCTGAAAACTCTTTTTAACATCTTCCAAAACTAATTTCTTTTCTTTTGGAAGGTGGGTTTTGCTTATTTCTTTTTGAATGGGCTTCATCACTTAGAAACCTGACATTATGTCTCGTTTAATGAAGAGGAGGACCAAGGGCGACATGATAGCAGTCTTCCAATATCCCAGGGGCTGCCCCAAAGAAGAGGGGATCAAATTATTCTCCAAAGCACCTGAAGGCAGGAAGCAACGGGTGGAAACTAATCCAGGAGAGAAGCAACTTAGAACTAAGGAGAAATTTACTGACAGTGAGAACAATTCATCAGTGGAACAACTTGCCTCCGGAAGTTGCAAATGCTCCAACACTGGAAGTTTTCAAAAAGGTGTTGGATAACCGTTTGTCTGATTTGGTAGAGGGTTTTCTGACTGGGCAGGGGGTTGGGCTAGAAGACCTCCAAGGTCCCTTCCAACTCTGATATTCTACTCTAGGTTTCAAGAAGAAGGCAACAAGGAGCTGTGGAAATTCTGTGCCGCCTCCTTCACGAGATGCCTCTCTGCCTTTTGGTTCCCAGGAGGTGGCACTGTCTAACTCGGAAGCTGCTGGGTGGGCCAGGAAAGGCAGATGCCCGGGAAGGAAGCTTGCCAGCCCCCCCCCTTTCAGCCCGAGCCCCTTAATTACAGAGAGCTTGGCTCCTTCTTGAAAAGAGGGAAGGAGGATTCAATGCAGCAGCCCACACAACTGGCATTTAAAGAGACAGGTTGCCAGCTCGGGACGCGTCATGCGTGTGCCAAGGAACAAAAGGAAGGGGAATTGATACGATAATTTGATGTTCTTTTTCACAATGGGGCTGAGGAAGAAGCCTTCAGGACCAGGGTGTGTGTGTGTGTGTGGTTTTCTCCTTTCTTCCCACGACTTGGAAAAGAGGCTTGCAAGGAAATGTGACAACTGCATCCTTTCCCCTCGTCCTTGGGATGCGTATCCAAGAGTGAGGACGTCCACCCTGAGAAAGTATGTGGTCCAACTCAAACGCTCTCGAAAAACACCCAGGCAACGCTTCATTGGCTGAAGACAGACTGGAAAAGGGAAGAGCTGGGACCTTTCTGTATCTTCTTTGCATGGGAAAGTCACTCCCAGCCTGGCCCTACCGCAGCCAGCATCTTTTAGTAAACCTATCCCTGCAACCAAATGGGAGTCGAGGGTCTTTTTTTCCTAAGGGGCCAGACTGGGACAGGCCTGACACCACGCTTCCTTCTGCTCTCCTGTTGTGGTTAACCGGCAGCAGGTGGGGACGGCTGAGGAGAACGAGGACTCAGATGAGGGGCCGGGACCATTAGGGAGTGGACTGCTGCCTTCAGAGATTGTGGGGGCTGGCAGCAGCAATGAGGAGGTTCCCGAGGAGCCTGTGCACAGTGCGCGTAGGGCTGCTCGCAGGAAAGAGCAGCTGCAGCAGCACAGGCCCCTCGGGAGTAAGGCTGCAAGGGAATGGTCCCTCCTTCAAGAAGATAAAAGCCAGCTGTGAATCGGACGTTCTTTGCAGGAAGCAAAGATGTTTTGAAACTCGAGCCGCATGGACATTACAGTATCTTCAGTTGGTATTTGAAGACTCTTTGTGTTGTAAAATATTTCTAGGCAACCTTATCTGTTATTCTTGACAGCCTCGCACAGTTTTGGCGAGGCTTGTGCTTATCAAAGTTAATTAGTTTGCAGCAGCCTTTTAACCGGGGATTTGTAAGAATCATTAAAAGGTTTCTGTTCCCTTTGGTTCGTGTTTGTTTTATTGGAAAAGGGTTTGGGTCTTCTTTGCATGGGAAAGTCACTTCCAGCCTGACCCTACCGCAGCCGGCATCTTTTAGTAAACCTATCCCTGCAACCAAATGGGAGTCGAGGGTCTTTCTTTCCTAAGGGGCCAGACTGGGACAGGCCTGACACCACGCTTCCTCCTGCTTTCCCCTCTTTGCATACCCACTTCCCTTAAATTCTTTCCATCGCCATCAGCATGGATTCCATTCATACCGATGCTGTCCTGCAAGGGTATCATCTCCACCCAGGCTCCTAGTATTTTTCAGGCTGCCAGCAAGTGTACGAGACTCTTATCAAGGCCGCTTGGGTCCATGTCTTGCTCCATATCCTACCGACACCAAGATCTAGCAAGGACCTCCAAGTGAGATCGGTAAGTGAGCACAGAGAAAAAGGACCGACTCCCCCCCTCCCCCCCACAACCACTGAGCAGGGAGGATTCGTACTTTGAAGCATTGCTTCTCAGCCTCGTCCTGGCCATCAATGTCGACAAAATCTTCCGTTGCCTTCCATAGAAACTTCTCGGTGAAGCCTTTCTGGACCGTGTCACACATGAAGCAATCGCTGGGCACCTGCAGGGGAGAAAGGAGGGAGAGGTGCCCATCAGCTCCAGGCAACGGGAAGGGAGGGGAGCCCTTGAGTAAAGTCAGGGGTCCAACGGTGAGCCCCAAACAACCCAATAAGAAAAGTCGCTTTTCTCTTGCATTCACCTTCAGCCAAAGGCCTGGCAAACAGTCCTTCAAGGGTGTGATTAGGAGCACAGACCTTATCTAGCCTGGAGAGCTGCCAAATAAATATTTCCAAACGCAGTGCTGACAAGGAAGGGCTCAGCACAGAGTCCCTGAGATGCACAGACAGATTTTCACACGGCTGCAACGAACGATTGTTTCCTGCAAAAGCCCCCTCCCCTTTTGGTCCTCTTTCCATCCCTAGGAGAGGGGGCCGTTCACTATTCCCCGGTGGCCTTACTCCCACGTCGACCCTGAGTTCGTAATTGTTTCCTTCTTCTGGCAGCTCCGCACATGCGCAGGCTGGGAACAGGCTCCAGCTGCTCCCCCACCTCACTGCTGTCCGACTCCAAAGGCAGCTGACGACTGCCAGACCGCCCTGGCCCCGTTTCTGCTTCTGACACAGAGCCCTCATCCGAGCCTTCCCCAGCCTCCAGGACCAGCCCACATTCCTCCCCAACCTCCTCACTGTCCGACTCTGCTGTCAGCTGCACCAGCCGCCGGCACACAACAGGTGATAGAAGAGATTTCCTTACCTCCTCGGCCACTAGCAGTCCAGACTCCACCAGCTTGTCCACAGTATGCTGACAATAGTAGTGCACAGACTCGCAAGGCTGGGAGGAAGCATGAAGAGGGATGAGTGCCAACCTGAGCTGGCCAATGTACCTCCCTTGCAAGAGAATGATTCAAAAATCCTGGGCTTCTCCCAGGTTAAATTATAGTCAAATGATTGTTTAATAATGATATTAGGATATATAATTGTTGATTGATAATATGAGTTATTATGTAACATAATTATTATGATGACTATGAAATGGATGCACAAAAAGGAGTGGTAAACCAACCGATACACTGTCTGTAAATTTATGAAGAATGATGATGTTCTTATGTTATGTTTTATGTTTTATGTGTTTGTATTTGTTGTTAAAACCAATAAAACTTTTACCAAAAAAAAAAAAAATCCTGGGCTTCTCGCACCTCTGTGATCCTCAACTGATTTATTACAATGCTTGCTATCCCTTTGTGTTAACAACAACAACAAAAAAAGGCTACAATCTATAATTAAGGGGGGTCAGCAAGATGCCCCAAGGTGGCCCCCAAATACAGAAGTGTGGGTGTAAGAGGAAATAAAATCTATGTGGGAGGGGCCCGATCAACTTCATAGAATAAGTGTTGTTCTTGGAGGTTTATATGAGAATCACTACAGATTTTTAGCTATACAATTTGGGATGAACACCCTTGGAATGGGGTGAGAATAGGAATGGATTTCCAGAGGGAAAAAAATATTCCAGACCTCAGGAACCATTTGCACCACTCAGGTGACCCTGAGGACACAGATACAACTCCAAGTGGCCTCAACGACCCTCCAAAAGGATGCAAACGACCATCTGTCTGCAAGGAATAGAAATCCTTCCATTTCTCCACCATCCAATCAGAGCTGAAGAAGCTTCTTGGATGAGAAGCGAAATGTCTTCAAAAGAAAAAAACTAGAAAGTCCAGTTGCCTCCTGAAAAAAGCACCTTTGGGGCAACCATGACCCGGATGGCTGCGAATCTCTGCAGACTTTTAGCTATACAATTTGGGATGAACCCCCTGGGAATGGTGTGGGAGTAGGAATGGAGGGAAAAATTGCAGACTACAGGAACCAGGAGCACCACTCAGGAGACCCTGAAGACACAGATAAACCTCCAAGTGGCCTCAACGACCCTCCAAAAGGATGCAAACGGCCAGCTGTCTGCAAGGAGTATAAATCCTTCCATTTCTCCACCATCCAATCAGAGCTGAAGAAGCTTCTTGGATGAGAAGCGAAACGTCTTCAAAAGAAAAAAAACAAGTCCAGTTGCCTCCTGGAAAAAAAACACCAACCACCTTTGGGACAACCATGATCTGGAGGAACTGAGAATCTCTAGAGATGTTGTAATGACTGTCACCTGAAAATGCACTGTAAGTAATGAATAACCTTCTTGCAAGTGAAGATGTACATTTGTTAGTCACAGGCAGCTTAAGAGCCATAGCTGATAATTCATGCCTCCTCGGAGGCGTAGCCCAATGACTCAAAGCAGGCATCTTTCTACAAGAGGTCGCAAGTCACGGACACCCCTTTGTTCTAACTCACAAAACCTGCCTCCTCCTACTGAGCAGTGGTTAACGTGGCAAATCTAAATCTCTTCCTACTTTAAAAAGTCAAAAACTGTTTCCAGAGTCCTTCAGGAAGGATGCAAACACAATAAGGCTTCCCCAAATTCCTAAAAACAACAATTCACAGAGCTGTAAAACAAGAGTAATTGCTACACTCTCCCAGCTCCACGAGCCCCTCTTACTCTACTCAAGGGTTTTTTTCCAACCTTGGCAACTTTACAACTTGTGGACTTCCGACTCCCAGAATTCCTTAGAAGTAAAAAAGAGCAGCCAGAATTTGGGGGACTGAAATCCACAAATCGTAAAGCCGTCGAATTTGGACTGTATTTTCTTTTTTAAAACTGCAGAGGGAAGCATTTTACTACGAATAGCAATCAGAGCCCTTCGGTGCATGTTGGGAGGGACGAAAAGGAACCAATACGCAGTGACAGGCGTTTGGGTCTTTTAAAAAAAAATCTGCATTAGGAGTATCCATCAGCCGTTGCAAAATGAATTTAGCTCTCAAGTTAAGTCCTCAACGTATAACCATTTATTCAGGGATCAAAGTTACAATGGTACTTTAAAAAGTGACTCAAGGCTGGTTTTCATACAATCACTGCACATCCCCAAGGTTTTATATTTATCAACCGATGGATTTATTACTATAAGATCATTACAGAAATTGCAGCGTAACAGAGTTAGAAGGGACCTTGGAGGTCTTCTAGTCCAACCCCCTGCCTAGGCAGGAAACCCTATACAATTTCAGACAAATGGTTATCCAGTCTCTTCTTAAAAACCTCCAGTGTTGGAGGCATAACTTCTGGTGGCAAGCTGTTCCACTGGATCATTGTCCTCACTGTTAGGAAGTTTCTCCTTAGTTCTAAGTTGCTTCTCTCCTCAAATTAGTTTCCCCAAAGAAGGGATCAACATTAACCTTGGGGATGTGATTGAATTCTGAGGTCAATCGGGAATCATAGAATCTTGAAAGGGCCCTTGGAGGTCTTCTAGTCCAACCCCCCTTGCTCAATCAGGAGATCCTATACCATTCCAGACAAGGGGCTGTCCAGTCTCTTCTTAAAACGTCCAGTGATGGAGCATCCCGCGACTTTTGAATGCTTGCAAGCTGTTGCAAGATATCAGAGAATCTGATTGCCAAAACAACACACATTATCCCTTCCTTTGATTTGCAATTTTTATCTTTGAAAAGCAGAAGGTTCATTGAATCCTTAGCTCGATGGGCTGCATTTGCAGGACAACATAAACCACGGAGTAACCAGAATATCATAAAACACACTAAAATGAGATTGGGGGGGGGGGGGGGGAGAAGGGTTTTGATGCAAATCCCCAGGAAGTCGATGAACATTCTCACCATCTAGATTGCGTGATGGCACCTGTACTTCTTTCCCCTTTTTATTTGAAATGTTTCATTGCTTATTCAAAAAAAAAAATATGAAAATAAAAACGCTTCTTCAGATAAGCAGCAAAACGTTTCAACCCAGAAAGGAAAGAACACGACACAACACAACAAATCCCCGTCATAATCTGATTCCGAGAGGGAGGCTGAACAGCTGGCAGGGAGTGGGAGTGTGGCTCCATTGGCTGTGGGGGAACTGGGGAAGGGCAAAATCCGGCTGGGCAGAGCAGGGAAGGGGTAGAACAAGGGAGAGGGAATTCAGAGGAAGACCCAGGCCCATCCCCTCTTCATCCTAGGGCACGCAGGGAAGAATGGAGAAGGGAGCAACGTGGGTTGCATGGCTTACGGGGGAGGAAAGGGCCCTGATTCCCTTCATTGGCTGCAACTGGGAACACAAGTGTATAAAAAGGGAAGCTGCGCACAGCAAGTTGTTGGGAGCAAACATGACTTTATCTGGTATCCTTGAAGCTTATCTGTGTTCCTGGCGTCTTCCCAACTGTGTGAGTTTTGCCGTGCTTTCAAGTCTGACATTCCTTCTCCTGCCCTGTCAAGTTAATTACTTCAGTTTGGCTTGTTTGGATTTTAAGTTACAGTTTGTGTTTACCCTGTTTTGGATGGAATTTTCTACAGTTGGAGGCTGTTCCTGGGAGAGTTTTTCTCCAGCCTGAAGGTAACCTGGACATTGGGGGCAAAGTTGGAGCTAATAAAGGGACTCATATTGCTTATCTGACTCTGTTGCCTTTGTGCCTCGCCCCTTTGGGTCATCACACCCCCCAGAAGAACGTCTGCCAAATAAGACAAATATTTCCTACCTGGCGTAGAAGGAAATCTTTGGGCAACAGCTGAACTAGCAGGACAGACTTGTTATGAAGTTCTTCGTGGGCCAGGACGAAATTCCCGAGCTGCTCAGGGCTTCCCAAATACGGCAGCACCTCCATCAGAAGAGCATTGATGGAACAAGCTGCCCAAAAGATTGGAGGTGGGTGAGTAAACCCTGAGTGAGCCCCTCTTGACACCACCACGTTCATGTAATTAGCAACACACCACATAGGTGCCATCAAAGTTTAGGAGGAATGAAAGAAAAGGTCATTGTTGACTCTCTGAGCATCGGACACACAAACACACCTCAGCCAGAGGGTGTGTATCCTTTCCTTTCCTTGTTCGCAAGGCAGCTGCAGATCAACCAACCAACCAACCAATCAGAATAGAGCTGGAAGGGACCTTGGAGGTCTTCTAGTCCAGTCCCCTACTTAAACAGGAGACCCTAAATCATTCTGGACCAATCGCTGTCCAGTCTCTTCTCGAAATTTCGTCTCCAGTGATGAAGCACTCACAACTTCTGGTGGCAAGCAGTTCCACTGGTTAGTTTCTCCTGAATTCCAGGTCACTTAGCTTGATTTTCAGGGCCTTTTGATCATAGTTACCTCAATCGACCGTGAGCCAGATACCTATGAGTAGGCTATGAGAACCTGGGGGACTTACCTCCGATAGCTTCCTGGATGAAGACAGGCAAGAGGGCCGTGCTGTGGTGGCCCAGCTCCCTGATGGCCGCCTCGGTCTTCTTGGGCACCACCAAGATGTCTCCCAATGAGAGGCTGTAGAGGGTCACACAATCCCGCAGCAGGGAGAGGCCATGCCACAGCACGTCACGGACCCGGCCAGAAAAACCCACATCATAGTTACGCATCAAGACTTCGTCGGTGATCCAGACGAAGTCTTGCATCAGCCGAGAAAGAAAAACTCCCTGGTGTACGCAAGGAGGGAAGTAAAGGCAGGAAAACAAACCCGTTACAGATGTCTAGCAATTTCTCCGCTTAACTTGCAATCATCTGCTGGGTTTGGGACCAGAGGTGGGGTATTCAGCTGGTTCGGACCGGTTCTGGAGAACCGGTAGCAGAAATTTTGAGTAGTTGGGAGAACCGGCAAACACCACCTCTGACTGGCCCTGCCAACCCCATCTCTTCTCTGCCTCCCATTGAGTTCCAGCTGATCGGCTGGGTCTTCTTTGGTTGCCCTGCCCAGGAGAACGGAGCTGGAAAGCAGGTTAGTGGGGCGGGGAGGGAATGGGGATTTTGCAGTATATCCTTCCCCTGCCATGCCCAACAAGCCACAGCACTCCCACCAAGCCACGCTCACAGAACCGATAGTTCCCCATGGATTGCCCTAGAATCCTTAATGTGAAGCAACTAAGTTTTGAGCAGATGTTGTTGTCCTTGTCACAGCTACCAAAGGAATTTAGCCCAGTCGTTTTTAATCCACTCCTGGGATCACAAAGTCAGGTGAGAAGTAGGTCAGCTGAAGATTTCCTTCAAGGACTGGTCCAGTTGGGGGCATCACACTTTGAAGGATGGTTCAAGGATGCCAGAGATAAGAAAGGAAGCACAGAGTCCTCAGTCCTAGAAGGACAGCTGAGTGTGTTTAGCCTTGGGAGGAGGAGCAGATGGAGAAGCTCAGGAGATGGAGCAACTCACCTGAGGTCCTACAGAGCAAGCCCTTTCCTTTCATCTCCAAGGTCCCTAACCCTAACTAGGTTCCTGGGAGAAAGTGGGAATTTCACCATGACCCTTTTACTTCCCATTCTTACCTCTTGGTGCATGTGTAGCAGGAGTGCAGAGAGGATGTGGACTGCCATGATGGCCGAACACGATACACCTGCTAGGAAGGTTGAGAGTGGGCAGAGTTACGTTTTTCAAGGGTTGTTGTTAACTTTGACTGGTTACTTTTAACATGATGCTCTAGGCCAGGGGTCTCCAACCTTGGCAACTTTAAGACTTGTGGACTTCACCTCCCAGAGTTCCTCAGCCAGCCGTGAATGATAGAGTTGGAAGAGACCAGAAGGGTCATCTAAGTCTGGGGGGAGAACTCGGACAAGGGTCCTGTGTCCGATGCAGAGATGGGGCCAGGACTATCTGGGAGTGAGGTGCTGCCTCTGGAGTCTGGCAGCAGTGAGGAAGAGGACCCAGGGGAGCCTGTTCCCAGTGCGCGTGTGCGCAGAGCTGCTAGAAGGCAAGAGCAGCTGAGACAAAAGGGGCAACTCAGGAGTAAGACTGGGAGGTGATTGCCCCTCCCCTAAGGTATAAAGGACAGGCAAAGGTAGAGAAACCTTTGCAGGAAGCAAAGTCATTTGCTCTGTTCAGATTAAACCTTGAAGCTCTGTGTGGATTTTGTACTTCGGTTGTTTTTTTTACCGTTAATTTGGCGCTTTAGTTGTTGGCAGCATTTCAAAGGAAAGGTGGGTGCTTATCTCAAGGGACTGTTTGGGACTCATTACAGGCTGGGAATGCACATAATTCCCAGTGTTGAAATAAAACAAGAGTTGTTAAGACTAAGCGTGTGCTTAATTACGGTCTCGGGAAGCCTTGGTCAGAACAGCTACCAACCAGGAAGGAGCGGGGTATCAAAGTGATCTCAACTGAAGAAAAAAAAACGCACTCTTAAATCCTTACTAGCAAACAGTAAATCAGTAGAAACGGAATTGTTTCGCAAGAAACAAAGCCAGGGAAATTGGGCGGGCCCAAATTGTTTTTCCTGCGGAATAAATGGACTGCAATAGGTCAGGATGAACCATTTGCTATTATTTTTTTAAAAAATCAAATTTTTTTTTTAAAGGAAAGGATTTATCTCAGTAAGGTATGCTTTTTCTCTCCGGCAACGCTCATCCTCCTGAATCGTAAAAGGAGAAACGGTGAACGTGCGCTCATAAACCATTATACCAAGTCACGCAGGCTGTGCATTAGCACAGAGAGAGAGAGAGAGAGCAGCTGAAGTTATTAGACTAAAGTAACTGATAATTGGGAAGTTACCGCCACACTCGGAGAACAGCAATAAACTCAAAAACACACCTTGACACATGAACCCCACCCTTTATGTAATGGAGGCTCTTAGGCGACTGAGTGGGTTATTCCAAGTGCTCCTGTTTTGTTCTGACCCAGCTCCCCAAACACAACAAACCCTCCGAAGTGAACTCAAAAGATTCCTTTATTAGGAGCGCCGGCAGCCTTGGCAAGAAGGCTAACAAGTCTGTCCGTCCGTGAGATGAATAGTTCTCTGCCACATCTATTTATCTCCCTCCCCTGCCTTTGATTCCCAGAGCTAGGGAGGGGCTTTGCTAGCAGTGATGGCTCTTCTGTCCCAAGGACCGGCTTATAGATTTCCATTGCTCTCCTCTCCTCTGCCTTCTGCGCAGCCACATGTTGGGCGCTGGACCCAGTGTCAGGACTCGGACAAATCCACCCCCATTCAAATCATAAGTCTCTAGCCGCATCCCTCTGAATAAAAAATATTGATTTATTAGGAGTTAGCATGTCAGTGTTTCCTGGGTGTAGCCGACTCTGAGACACATCATTCATTTCACCTTTGACCCTGGTCTTCCCCCCCCCCCTGCAGATGTATATTCCCCAATGGGACACATCCATAGCCAAGAGTCATCCATCATATTCTCCAATAACAATCTTGAGCGCCAGAAGCTTGGGCTGCCTAGCAATTATCTGAAGCATTTGAGGAATGCACAACTTTTCCCCCCCCTCTCTTTCTGCTGGCAACTAAAAAGACCAAAGAATTTTTTTTTCTCTTCCTCATTAGCCACCTCCAGACCTGGAGGGCTGTTGACTCTCCATCTGTGATGGCTGGGGAAAATGGGAATTGTAATCTAGTCATCTGGAGGGCATGAGCTACAGACTCCAACCTGGTGCAAAAGAAGGCCAGCTGTCAACTCATAAAATATTTCTCTGGTCTTTTTAAGGTTGCCAATGCCAACAGAAAGGGAGGGGGGAGCAGTGCAGTAGCTTGCAAAACCGAAAGTGCATTCCATAAATGTTTTCAAAGATAGTAACTAGGTGACTGAAGTTTCTGCCGTGCAAAATTCTAACTGGAGAGCATGATTGATGACTCTGGGCTATGGAGGTGTCCCATTGGAGAATATGAATTATAATACACCCAGGGGGTGGAGGGAAAACCAGGTTCAAGGGTGACAATGAATGATGTGTCTCAGAGTCGGCTACACCCAGGCAGTGCTGGACCTTTTCACTCCCAATAAATCCTTTTGAAGCTCTGGAAGTTTGGCTCAAGACTCCTGATTTAAATGTGGGTAACCGCCGGAATCCTGACACCAGCCTTTATTTTGGAATGAATCAACTGTTTTTCTGATGACACGGGCTGGACAACTTCAGCAAACAACATGAAAAGTGACAACTTCTGGGCACCAATTCCTGCCAGCAGGTGAGACGGGGCAACAACTTACCACTCAAAGTGTGGAGGCTCAAATTGTCCAGCAAAACCTGTTCTTCTACGCTGGTCAGGGGCACATCTTGAAAGCTCGTAGGCCAACATTCTACTTTCTCACAATCCAGAATGCTGGGGCTATTAAAGCAGAGAATGAGGAGTTGGTCAACGGCAGCTTTTGGGATCAGTACGGCTTGTCCCTCCCTCTGTCCCTTTATCCATCCTTCTGTGATGACCTGGGGTGTGGCACGAAGGCAACCCAGCCAGAGAACAGGTATGAGTCCCTTTATTTGCTCCAACTTTTCCCGCAACGTTCCGTTCACTCTCCGGCCAGCAGAAAAGCTCTCCCACGAACCTGCAACAGCCTCTGGTTGCAGACACTCTAGTCCAAACGCTGTAAGCAGACTGACTGCAATCAAGCACTCCAGCAGGGCAAGATAATGAGTCCAATCATTCCAGCAAGGCAAGATAAGCACACAGAAGCACAGCAATAATTCACACAGATGGGAGGAATGGCAGGAATGTGGGCTAAAACTCACAATACTAGATGAATTCAGTGTTTGTTCCCGACAAACGCCCCCCCAACTGCCTCTCCTTTAAACTCCGTCCCCAGGTGTGCCTTGTGAAGGAAATCAGGGCCCTTTCCTTCCTTGTAAGCCACATTGCTCTCTTCTCCATTCTTCCCTGTGTGCCCTAGGATGAGGAGGGAGTGTTCTGTTCTGTTCTGTTCTGTCCTCTCCTCTCCTATTTCTATTCTATTTCTATTCTGTTCTTGTTCTGTTCTGTTCTCTTCTATCCTCTCCTCTCCTATTTCTATTCTATTTCTATTCTGTTCTTGTTCTGTTCTCTTCTATCCTCTCCTCTCCTATTTCTATTCTATTTCTATTCTGTTCTTGTTCTGTTCTGTTCTGTTCTCTTCTATTTCTCGCAACGTCCACCAACACGTCTAGAAGAGACCTCTAAGTGAACTGGAGGGACCTTTTTGAGCCCCTTTCTGCCTGCCTTCCTAGCAGCCAGCCAGAAGTTGAGTCTTTTCAACCTGCAGCGGGGACTTTCACATCTTCCCCGTCTAGGGGAGGGGTGGGTGGGCCAGCCATGGCCGCTTCTGCGTCTCCACAACTCCGGCGTAGACTTACCCCCTGCCGAGAATTTCGGGTAAGAGCAGTTCTCTCAAGGGCTTCCTGGAGCCACTTTGCCAGAAACACCTGTTGGTCACAAACTCCTAGGGAGAAAGCCAGAGAGTCTTGTTGGGAATCTCAACGGTCGGGAAGAACAATCAGTCCGTGAAACAGCTTCCCTTCCGAAGCGGTGGGTGCTCCCACCATTTGGAGGTTTTCAAAAGTTATAAAATATTTCTATGGTCGTGTTAGAGTTGCCAACAGAAAGGGAGTGGGGGGGGGGGGGAGAAAGGGGCTTGAAAGAGTAGTGTGGCAGCTTGCAAACTGAAAGTGCATTCCATAAATGTTTTCAGAAATAGTAACTAGGTGACTGAAGTTTCTGCTGTGCAAAACTCTAACTGGAGAGCATGATTGATGACTCTGGAATTTATTTGATTATTCTTGTTAGTTTTTATTGTTTTTATTGTTTGTTTTAAATATGATTTTATATTGTGTAAGCCGCCTTGAATCGCCATGGGCGAATAGGCGGCAATATGAATCAAATAAATAAATAAATAAATAAATAAATAAATAA